AGGGGCTGGTATGCAGGGGGAGGGGAAAGGGGGAAGAAAGGGGAAGGCACCAAAGGGACAGGGTAGAGGAGATACAAATGCTAGGAGGGAAGTGGAGACAATGAGGAAAAGGGCAGGAGGGGAGCTGTAGGTGGGAGGGGGGACAGGGTGATGCTGGAAGAGGAGAGGGGAAGGGCACTGGGGATTGGAGGAGAAGGTGCTAGGAGAAGGCTTGACAGAAGGGGTAGGCATGAGGAAGGTGGGGTTGGAGCAATTCATGTGTGAGGGCACAGGGGCATGAGGGGAACGGGGGCAGAGGGTGGTGAGGGGATGGGCATCAGGGAAAAAAGGGCAAAGGGGGCAGGGGCAGTGAGGGAAGGGGGAGGCACCAGGAGATTGCAGGGGTAAGGGAAGGTGCAGGTGCCAGGGGATTCTGGGGGTGAAGCAGAAGGGCAGACACCTGCAGGGGAGGGACAAGCACCAGAGGAGAGAGGCGAGGGAGGTGTTAGATGAAGGGATGAGGCGGGGTAGCTCACATGATTGGAGTGGGCACAGGGGGGAGAGAAGGGCTGGTGGAGGGGGGCAGGTCTCAGGAAGGCTGAGAGCAGAGAGAAGGGCAGGAGTTAGGACAGCAGAGGAGGGTGAGGGGTTGGGGGGCAGCAGGCACCAAAGGAGTTGATGGAGCAAGCAGAGGAGATACATCCAAACAAGCCAAATGAATTCAGTACCGGTGCACAACATGAAATTCAGCTGCAGGCTCCACCATCTTAGCCCTCTCTGAGGGCTGAGTTTTAACCCTTATAGGGCCAGATGTCCTGTCACATGGGGGCCTATGGGCTGTTAATGGGACAAAGAGCCTCCCCCTCCAATTGGAGTCTTACTGTGACCTTAGTGTGAGACGAGGTGGTCAGTCTCAGCCAATTGTTGATGTTCACGGCCCAAAGAAGCCACCCCCGCTTGCTGCTGACATGCTGACAGATTCAGCAGAGGGCCTGAACGGGCCATGGAGACTGACCCTACCCCAGGCCCTGGAGATGCAGTGCGTAGGAGGGGGGCTATTGAACACCCGTGCTTTCGTGTTTGGATAAGTCCTTGACCCACCTTTGAGCTTCAGCTTTAGGATTCAGTGTCCTAGCAGGGGCATGTTCTCAGGGCTGGGCTGGGTTGGGTTGGGTCAACAATGCTAATCCTTACCTATTACCATGTGCTGCCTGCACTGTGGCAGCTCCTTAGTGGACCCCCTGCTGTGACCAGGTCCCTTGGGGGGGGGGGTCACTGAGATTGCAAAGAATGGGGCATATGATTCCCCGAGCTGGTGGTCATTTGAATACTTCACTTCATCAAAGCAGCAACAAAACAGCTTCTCCAATACCTAACTGGTTACTAAGAGGCCAATTCCCTTAAAGCAACCCAGAACTGAGCTCCCACCCTGGCTGCTGCGTCAAATACAATGAGGATTACAGAAAATGTTACTCATCATCTAAAACGTTCTACCAGTCCCAAAGGATCAGACACATGGCTGACCATGTGAATGAATGTTTGGGCTTGGTTAAAAGATCCTAATACATCCAGGCATGAATACACCTCTTGGGTCAGTTTCACAGTAGATATGGTGAATTTCAGCATTGCAGAAAGTTCTTTCAAAATTAGTTCCTCAGGCTCTAGTCCAATATCAGGGATGTCCAGACTGGAGTTTGAGACAAACTTCCCCTGATGAAATTTAAGCAGATCTGAGATGCAGGATCAGGGTCCTCCAATTCCTTTTGTAGCGGTTTGGGAGCCTCCTGACTGTAGCCATTCCCTGGATGAATCATTGGGGCTTTGAAGTAAGATTTCCTATTTCCTATGCACTTACATAAGGCCTGTAAGTGCCTATCCATCATTTACAGGTAGCTCAAAGAGAAATGAGGACAATGATATTGTTACACCCCAAATTCATCAAAATGTTAATTCCTTTTTTATCTTTGACTTACTGTAGTAGAAAATAGTGACAGGCAGGAACCATTTGTTTACATGGTTAATGTCTAGCAAGATATAAGTAAATTTATACTGTTTACCTCTTATTCTCTTACAGTCCAGGTTTCCATATAAAGCTCTTATCTACTTAACATTAGTGGTCCATAGCTCCAAGCACCAGTATGTACTTTTCCAATGTGCCTTTGGCGGTTCAATCTAGGTTATTTAGCTTGCAAGTCGCTTAACCCTTTCTGCCCCAAACAGTCTGTGATAAATCCAGCCCAAGTGACACCTTGACATGCCAGATTCTCTTGTGCCCTAGCACTGGCCGGCACAGGAAGTGGCACTGACTGAAGAAACCAGGGTTAGTCTACGCTGCCCTGTCTGTGCTGGAGCTGCCCTGTCGCAGGGACACAAACTAACCCTGGCTGCTCGCTGTGCTTGTTTCTTCCAGAAATACCCAGTGAAATACGGCGCCGGCATTTGCAACACCAACAATGGCCCCTCCGTTCCCGTCATCTACGACTACGGTGATGCCCAGCAAACTGGCAGCTACTACTCTCCAAATGGCAAAAGTAAGGCTGGTAGCGAGCGAGCGTGCGTGTTTAACCTTCCCACCCGCACAAATCAGCCCTGCCAAGGACTTCAGTTCTAACAGAGTATTTCTTGGAGCAGCCCCATCACCCCACCTCTAATACTCTATTAAAAACTGCCGGGCTGCAGTGTGAGCATCGCTAATTTAGAGAAAGGGAAAACAATGAAAGAAGAGAGAGTGAATGGGAAACCCCCAGGAGAGAGAGCACAGTGTGTGTTCCCCACTTTAACATGCTACATGGCAACTGCACACAGAACAGCTCTTAGGAAGGTCAAAGATGCTGTGCAAGTGACAGAGCTGTGAACAGCCTGGCTGAGACTGGCAATTCCCGATCATTTCTGGGACTGGAGTCCCTCATCCCTATTGCCTGGGCAGTCCCAGTTCACACAAAGGGACTAGCTGAAGGGCACCACCTGGGATCGGAGCTCTGTTACTTCTCTCCACCTCTCCATGGCAAACAAACATCTTGACCTCCCTTTTTATTGTCACCAGCTGAAATCGTCCCTGGCTACGTCCAGTTCCGTGTGTTTAATCATGAGAAGGCGGCCATGGCTCTGTGTGCTGGGGTGAAAGTCACTGGCTGTAACACTGAGCATGTGAGTATCTGGCCAGCGTAGGGCACTATGGTACAAGGGTGTTCTGATTCCCACTAATCTTCCCAGTGCAGGTTTTCCCCAAATTCCTGTGCTGAGGGGTAAACTGTGAGCTCCTTGGGGCAAGGGCCATATTTCTGTCCTGTGTCTGTACAGCACCAAGCACCAGAGTGGCTGTTTGCAATGCAAACAGTAAATGAAAATAACAAAACCCAGGGGCCTAAACCAGCCTTGCTCCTGGGGCAAACGTTCACACCAGAGCAAAGGGGAAGCCAGATTCTGGCCTCTGGCATCATTTTGTCTCAAGTTAAGTGACAGCACAAAGGCCACCACAACGAAGATTCTAGTCACAAGAGTTAGAAAGGGATTGAAACCCTTATGCTTCAGGGCATTTAGGGCATGTCTACGCTAGGAAATTATTTCAAAATAACTTAGTTTTCATGGGAGGTATTAATACTAAATATTTCACTACACTACAGGAGAGCCTCGAAATTAGTCCGAGGCAGGCTCCCTTAATGTGGACGCATCACCTCAACTTAGAGCCCTAGGAAGCACTGGGGAGTGCTGCTTTGAATGACTTTGACTTTGTAGAGTGGTTATTTTGAAATAGCAGTAAAGTGGATGCTCCTCTGCTGCTATTTTGAAATAACAATTTAAAAATAAGCGTTAGTCCTCGTGGAAAGCAGGAGTTAGTATTTTGAAACACCAGCCCCTTATTTCAGAATTAGCCAATTAGCCTGTCATAAGATGGGATTTTCAGGTCTCTCCTCTATGTCAGTCTTCTCTCCTGAGCCTCCAGTCTCTCTCTCTCCTCCTCTTCCTACTGCGTCCCCCCCCCTCTCTCTCAGCTCTCCTAAGCCTCCTGCCTCTCTCTCTGTCTCTCTCTTTCTTTTCTCCTCCCCCTTCTGCCTTTCACTCGGGGGACCGGAGAGCCCAAAATGCCATTTGGGCTCCGCGCTCCTCGTGCTGCATGGGGAGCCTGGAGCCCAAACAGTCGCTTGCGCTACTTGCTCCCACGCAGTGGCCTGGCTGAATGGCGCAGAAGTCAGCCAAGCGCCATGGTGGGAGGCAAAGGAGGGCGGGGTGGTGACGTTCACGGCCAGGGGGCGGGGCCTGGAGCCACTGTCACACCGCCCTGCCCCCCTTCCCCTCTCGCCGTGGACCTCGGCTGATTTCTGCACCGCTCAGCCAGGCCGCCACGGGGGAGCAAGCGGCCGTTTGGGCCCCGCACTCCCCAGGCAACACAGGCCGCCCAGGGGGAACAGGCAGCATTTCAGCGTTACAGACACTGGGCTACTATATATATGATAATAGGCTTGGTAGTGTGGACGCTCCACTTGTTGTTTCAAAACAAGGGGAGTTATTTCGAAATTAACTCCCTAGTGTAGACCTGGGCTTACTGACCTCAGCAGAAGGTCTGGGGTAACTTTTCTTGGTGGGCAGATTCTTTGCCAACTGGCCATTGCAGGGTTTCTTGCACTTTCCTCTGAAGTAGCTGGCACTGGCCTGGAGATGGAAGAGCAGATGGGCCCCTGCTCTGCTCCTGCCTGGCAATTCCTCTGTTCCCTCCCCAGTACTGCATCGGTGGAGGAGGGTTTGTCCCAGAACAGAGCCCACGTCAGTGCGGCGATTTCGCTGCCTTTGATTGGAACGGCTACGGAACCCATCAGGAATGGAGCGTATCCAGGGAGATGCTTGAATCCGCAGTGCTGCTCTTCTACCGCTGAGTCCGGAAAGGCCGACGTGCCTCAGTGACGGACGCTGCTTCCTTCCAGCCAGAGCTGCTCCCTGGCAGGAGACTTATGGCCTCAGCTTGGACATCTGTGATGCAAATAAAGAAATTGAAGTGGGCTGGAGTCTTGGTGTGATTTCCCCCTCCCCCATGTGATGCAGAGCGTGCAGAGAGGTTTCCAATGCATAATAACATCAGGACGGCCACACTGGGTCAGACCAATGGTCCGGCTAGCCTAGTATCCTGTCTTCCAACAGTGGCCAATGCCAGGTGCTCCAGAGGGAGTGAACAGAACAGGGAATCATTAAGCATCTGTACCCTGTTGCCCATTCCCAGCTTCCACCAAACAGAGTCTAGGGACACCATTCCTGCCCCTCTGGTTAATAGCCATTGAATTGATCTAGCTCTTTGTTGAGCCTTGTAGCCTTGGCCTTCCCAGCATCCTCTGGGAAGGAGTTCCACAGCTTGCCTGTGCCTTAGCTGAAGAAGTACTTCCTTCTGCATGTTCTAAACTGTTACCTATGAATTTCATTTCATGACCCCTAGTTCTTGTGTTATGAGAAGGAGTAAATAACTCTTCTTTATTCACTTTTTCCACACCAGTCATGATTTTATAGATCTCTGTCATATCCCCGCCTTAGTCATCTTTTTTCCAAACTGAAAATTCCCAGTTTTATTAATATCTCCTCATATGGCAGCTGTTCCATTTTTGTTGCCCTTTTCCCAAGGCCGGGAAAGATTTTTTTGAGATGAGCTGACCACATCTGTATGCAGTATTCAAGATGTGGGCGTACCATGGATTTATATAGAGGCAAGGAGCTATTCTCTATTCCGTTCTTAATGTTTCCCAACGTTCTGTTTGTTCTTTTTACTGTTGCTGCACCCGGAGTGGAAGTTTTCAGAGAACAATGACTCCAAGATCTCTCTTGAGTGGTAACAGATAATTTAGTCTCTGTCATTTTATACATGTGGCTGGGATTATATTTTCCAATGTGCGTTGCTTTGCATTTATCAACTTTATCAGCACAAGTCAGGATCAGGCACTGCTCTCATTTCAAAAACACAGCCTTAGCAGTGTGCGGGACTCCCAGATATCAAAGCACTTTGCAAATCAAACGGTTCTGTGATCCCCATATTACAGACCCAGGGAAGGTGCTGAAGTTGGTTCTTGAGTTAGCTGCACCTTTGAAGGGTTCCTAGGAAGGCTCATCAGGTGTGGGATAAGCTTCTCTGATGGCCTATTGTTTCCTTGAATGGCTCATTACCTTGAATAGCAGCTTCACAATCAGCTGTGGAGCCTAAAGGTGTAGCCACAAATGAAATGTCCGTACATAGTTAATATGCACAGCTCCACATACAGAAATGATACCTGCATACAAATTGGATACTCATCATGCACAGATCATAGCTTTTCCATGGACATCTCGCATGACAGATTTTTGTTCAAGATGCACCATAATTGTGTTATGATCACATCATAAAGATACCATATAAATGCCTGCAGGTTTTGCATAGGTTGTTTGGGCAGGCCCTGCTGCTGTTTTAAATTGGGGTGTCTGTGAGTTCTGGTCTGTGGGGAGCTTGCTTGTGAGGATGAGCTGGGCAAAGTTGGGGGTTATGTGAAGGGCAGAACCCCCATCAAATATGGGTTGTAACTGCTGGATGATACACAAATAAGTTCCCCTCGAGGGTGGGAAGTGACAGCCCAGGGTGTGCAGTCACTGGGGCAGTTTTTTGTATTGAAGCAGGGTCTCTCATGGTGTCTGGGACACCCATTCCATGATGCGATCAGCTTCGCTGGTGGAGTGTCCTTGTTTGGTGAAAGGGATTTAAAATGTGTTGAAGTCTCTCCTGGAACTTCATCCTCTGATATCTGTGTGCTTGGCTATAGAAAGCTGGTTGGCTTTCTCTGTCTTCCAATCTAGAGCTGCCCCTGGAATTGTGCTGGTTGAGAGGGTAGGAGATTGGACTTGTGGAGGTTGACCTGGAGCTCCGCCGACTAAGGAATCGCTTCAAGATTCCTCATCATAGCTGCCAGCCCAACCCAATCCCTCTCAGTGATTCTGCTGTCGCCATGGTGAGAGAATCTCTTTAGTGCCAGAGGGCCCAGCAGTGAGCAGAACTGAAGAGGAAACACAAACCCCTGAGAGGAGAAGGCCCAGCAGGGATGAGATTCCTGAAGGCAGAGAACCACGGAATAGTCCAGGAAGGGGAGAGTGCAGCTGATGAGCATAGACAGGAGGGAAGATGTCCAGAAGAGCTGGATCCTGGCAGAATGAATGTTCACTTGCATTGTTTTTCCATCAAGGACAAGCAGGTCCACCCTGATGGCTAAAACAGGCGTAGGGCATGGAGATGCCAGCACTGCAGGGGACAAAAACCACACCATGACACCTCAGCATCCTGCACTGTGGTGACTGAGCGGTCACAGAGGTGAAAGTGGTGGGTTTGGCTCCTTCTCAGTCTCACAGTGGAAAGTCACTCCTAGCTCACCCAGCTGCAAAACAGCTTCCCAATCCAGCTGGTTGGATGTGATGCTGGCAAGTCCCTCTCTTGTGTACCATTGGCTTGGGGAACTTTGGTATTGGGGCTGTAATTTCCAGGGCAACGCTGACAGGAACTCATGGGAAAGCCAACCCGGCACTGGCCAAAATGGAAACAAACCTTGGGGCAAGGTTTTCTTTCCTGGAACAGAAGTTAAGCTGACTGATCTCTAGTTTCTTAGCTTGACCCTATTATCTTTTTTTTATATATATACATGGGCACGATATTTGCCCTTTTCTAGTCTTCTGGAATCTCTCCCCTCTTCCATGACTTCTCAAAGATGATAGCTAATCACAGTGAAACCTCTTCAATCGGCTCCTTGTGTATTTCAGGATCCATTTAATCAGGTACTGATGACTTGAGGACATCTAACATTTTATGGCTAACCTAGAACATTTCCTCAACTCCCATCCCCTTTTGCCCTTTCTGTACTTATGCTACTTCGATGACATCTTTATGATCTGGATGCCTGGCCAAGAAACACTGGAGACATTCCACAGAGATTTTAACAACCTACACACCACCATCAATCTCAGCCTGGACCATTCTACACGAGAGATCCATTTCCTGGACACCACAGTAAAAATCAGCAATGGAAAATTAGACACCGCTCTCTACAGCAGTGTTTCCCAATTTTATTTGGCCATGGAACCCCTAGAGTTGCCTTAAAAAAAAAAGGTCCTTGCCACACTTTGTTGAGCAAAAAAAAAAAAAAAAGCCCTAACCATGGCTCTGTCTCTTTAACAGGAGGCGGGGGAGTGCCGGCTCTTCGCGGAACCCTTGCTTTCAATTCGTGGATCCCCAGGGAATCCAGGGATCCATTGGGAAACACTGGACTAAGGAATCACTTCAAGATTCCTCACCACAGCTGCCAGCCCAACCCAGGCTGAGTGTGTGTCCAGCTGTCTGAGTCAAAATCCTGGGCTCTTTCAGTGAATTAATCACCTGCATAACTGTGGCAGTCACAATCCCTCCCTCTCTGTGATTCTGCTGGCACCATGGTGAAGGAATCTCTTTAGCGCCAGAGGGCCCAGCAGTGAGCAGAGCTGAAGAGAGGAGCCCTGGAAACACAAACCGCTGAGAGGAGAAGGCCCAGCAGGGATGAGATTCCTGAAGGCAGAGAGCCAAGGGGGAGTCCAAGACGGAGAGAGTGCAACCGAGCATAGACAGGAGGGGAGATGTCCAGAAGAGCTGGAGCCTAGGCAGAATGAATGTTCACTTGTCGTTACTTTTCCATCAAGGACAGCAAGATCCACCCTGATGGCTAAAACAGGCGTAGGGCATGGAGATGCTAGCTCTGCAGGGGGAAAAACCACACCATGACACCTCAGCATCCTGCACTGTGGTGACTGAGTGGTCACAGTGGTGAAAATGGTGCGTTTGGCTCTCACTCAGTCTCACAGTGAAAGGTCACCCCAGCTCATCCAGCTGCAAAACAGGTTCCCAATCCATCGGTTTAGGGCATGGGAAGCTGGTTGGACGTGACGCTGGCCCGTCCCTCCCTTGTGTACCATTGGCTTGGGGGAACTTTGGTCCTGGGTCTGTAATTCCCAGAGCAACACTGACAGGAACTCATGGGAAAGCCAAGCCTGGCACTGGCCAAAAAGGAAACAAACCTTGGGGCAAGGAGCCCGAATTTCCAGATCCAACGTGGACAATGGGCAATGGAGAAACGTAAAAGGAGGAAAGAAGGTGCTGCAGCCAGACTCAACAGTCCACATCTGCCCTTCCATCCGGAAGTGTCTGCTCCAGCCCTGCTGGGGATCCAGGATCGATCTCATTAGCTACCTGTGAATCCTCAAGCATTAACTTGTGTTCCAGTTGGAGGCAGTCGTTCTCCAGGGTGAGGGAGCTGCGATGGTGATAAATTCACCTCTTCAGCCACCAGAGGGCAGACTCCACCACACAAAGCCAAGCAGCAAATTAGCCTTTAATTATCGCATTGACAGGCCTGAATGCAGCTGTGGAGAACCTGTTCATGCCATCTCAGCCGGCCAGGTGTGAATACCAAGGAGCTTGGGAAACAAGCCAGTACAGGCCAGGCTGCGGGAACTGGCCTGCGCCTTGGGAGAAGAATTCATCCTCATACTACAGTCCTTACTGGGATGCACCCTGAGCCTGCAGATGCCTACCCCCACTGCACATCCCAGATGAATCCCACCATCCCCTCTCCATCATGTCCTCATCGATTTGGGAGCGGTTGATAATTTCATGGATTCAGCTCTAGCTCAGGCCCTACAGATTTTCCTGTTACACAAAGCCATACTAAAAAATGATTGAAATCCCCAGTGTCTTTGGATGTAGTCCTGTAGAAGACTATACCCCTCCCCTCCCAAGGCCCTTTTCAGGGACAAAGAGAAATTGTGCAATTTGCTATGATCCACTGCCTGTATATCCCCCTGAAACTTGCCATCTCCTGACTAACCATTTGGGATTCCCTATTTCGTTGATGAGAACAGGTCATTTCCCCATCACAATTCTGCAGGCAACATGGCCATGGACCAATCAAAATTGTACCCAGGCCCAAGAAACTGTAATTGCCCCATGAAACACATACTGATGGGGCTAAG